CTCTGCTTGTAACTGTTAAGAAAGTGCAAAGTAAGGAATATAGAAGCGAAATTAATGCTCTTAAATAAAATTCCAGGCTAGACAGTCGAAATCATCAGTTAACCCTAAATCCATATGTGAGCCCTAAAGAAATTTTGAGAGTCGGCGGGAGTCTCCAAACTGCTTAAATGTCCAACGAACAACGACAGTCATTGATCGTTGATCATTGATTCCTATAGACGATGTAATAATGACAGCATCCTGCAAATGTTACAATACCTGCGACAACGATTTTGGATAATTCACACAGGCTCGCAAGTAAAGGCGTACGTTTGGAAATAACAGCGAATTGTCCAGAATCAACAAATGGCTTCGCTGCCCCCCGAACTGGTACTCGCACCGACAGTTTTTTCAAACAGCGGTCTAGATTATTGTGGCCCGTTCCACGTTCGCATCGGTAGCAAACGATCAGCTATAACAACTAAAACATATGCAGCTATATTTGTATATATGGCTTCACAAACAGTCCACATAGAGCTTGCTGAAGATTTAAGTGCAAAATCCTTCATAGACGTTTACGATCGCTTTATTAGTCGCCGCGGTATTTGTGCGAAGCTTTTCAGTGACAATAATTGGCCGACCAATCAATTGTCGTCCTGAGGTATCGCTGCCAGATATATGTATGTATGTATACCACACAACTGCCTCCATTATTGGCAGCGCTTGCAATGTTTGAGCATTTTTGGAAACGTTGACAAAAGGAATATCTTAATTCACCAAGAACCAAACCTTCCAGTAGGAGATTTTGTACTTATTCGTAATGAGAACTTACTACCCGCTTTCTGGCGAATGGTTATCAGCATGTACGCTAAACACCGCTGTCAGCGTCCAGTACATAAGGTGTGAATACTAACGGAAATACAAGAGAAAATCCCAAACTGCGAGCGTTCAGCCGGGGAGAATGTTTGAGATTGGAATATTGTTTAGGGTTTAATCATCCCGTTATTTAGTCTCTCTTTTGCTACTCGCATTCAGCTACATATATACATATATGCGTACGTACATATGTCAACGATGCCGACTACATACTGCACACGTGCACTCCGTTAGCTTATGCTCTATTCCTGGAACATAATTAGTTTACAAATAAAACGTACATATGTTAATTATAAGCGCATCTATTTTTTATTACTTTTCGCCACATGTGCCTATTTCACAAACAGGCATATAATTGCCTGTTTTTACGAATTGAAGACAAGTGACAAACCTAAACCGGATTTTGTTTTACTCGAACCTTATTCAGAGATATTAAATTTATTCTCATTGTATTTAATACCTTTCAGATAGATAGATAGATAGAAATAAATTTATGCTTGCACCGCGATCTAGATACTCTGCCACATAGGTCCAGCACTCTAAAAAATTCTGTGCAGTCTAAGTCATGTAGCAATACCGACAGTTTGCACAAGAGGCCTTGTTAAACAGGTGCTTCTTAGGCCTGCATTGCCGAGGAGCAGCTCCTTTATGGTATGAAGACTAACCGCAAAGCAGGGTTCTGGTCCTACTTTTATGGAAGCAGCTACGGAGTCGGCAAACTCAGCGGCCATTCCTTGCTACCGCTTTGTGACTTGGCACCCAGGTTATACACTCCTGGACCAAAATCGATGTAACATTGTGAGCTATTATGGCATTACTTTTATTAGTTGCGCTCTATACAGCAAAGACTTCTTCTGTATGAAAAGACTGGTACGCGGTCCTACGATGCCTCTCAACGTTTTCGAGTCGTCAGTGTGCCACTTATTATTGATATCCCTTAGTAGTAGGTTAGACATGGAATAACTTTAAACTTCCTTGTGAAGTGTACCCTTCTGGTAAAACTGTCCCTCGGGAGAAGAGCCAGTGGTATCTCGCCACTTAAGGCCTTCATTTGTTGGGACGAGATGACCTTCCATACCCTTCGGAGTCACTTGAAGCATTGTCTGTTTTGCTGTTTGATTGATTACCAGATAGAGCCGTGTGAGTTCCATCATGACTTTTAGTGCTGGTGTCGGGCACGTACGTATTGTCACAGATGTGAAGACGTGTTTCGATAGTTGAAGTCCTACCGAAATCTTTGATGCTTTCAATACCCATGTCACCACTCAATAGGTAACAATCGGTCTCACGATCATGGTGGCCATCCACCTGCTAATCCTTAACTTGCAACCCCAGGAATTTCCGGCCAAGCGACTGCACAGTATATTAATTTTTATAATTAGTGCTCACACATTTTGCAAAAGCTTCGACGATTTTTAGTAGATATTCTCCCAAAATAGAAGTACGAATTTAAATCTACTCCGAACGACTAATACTATTAAAATATTTTTGTAATAATAAAAAACATATTTTTTAAACCCTGAACCTCTAGATTACGCCCTTGTTATGAAAGTCAAGTCTACATAACCCTTGTTAAAATTAAAGTCTGATCTCCATTACTAGTTGCATCAGACCACAGCAGGCAGATTAAAAACTATATCATTATAGGACAGTATTAATTTCCTGATACACTGCTTTATTTTACTAAAATTGCTGAAGGTTTCGGATCGTTTCTAAGAGAAAGTGACATTAGAATTTTATATTAAAATACATTTAATGTTGTAAATAATAATATAGTATATAATAATTTGTATTAAATGAGTAAAAATTTGCATTAACACTTGAGCTACTTGTTTTTAGCGTCCTGTAAAGCTTAATGTTTTCATAAAAAAATTTTCGAGCTCAAAGTTTTTATGTGTCAAAGAAATAATTTGATAGTAATCAATCACCTACATAATAATGTTCTTGAACATATTTCCATACCCGAATTCGAATCTACTTACTAAAATTTAATAAAATATGTTACCACATCTTTAAAGTGGAAAAAATTTGACCAGCCATCCAACTTGAATGCAGTCACTTTAAATTTCATTGTTACTTAATTCAATCTTCCAGACAAATATCGAAGTGAAGCTAACAAAAAACTTAGTCCATAGGCATGGTTAAATTCAATTAAACATCTCCAACATAACGACTATGAACTTATTTATCTAAATTACTATATAAACCGAATAAATGATTCCCCTATTTGACCATTGCAAACGTAAACAAAAGAAATGCCTACATTGCGGGTTGAGTAATGAGCAATATCAGTCAGTTTTCGAATGTAAACATTAAAATCTTCGAATATTCAACGTACAATCAGATTAGGTGTGTTATCTAATCTTATCTTATACCTATGTATTTGCATAAACTAACAGAGCTCGACAAGAGTATGTATGTATGATAACTACATGCAGAGATTGCAGCATTATAGTAACTTACAACAACAATTGAGATATCACAGTACTTAAACTTATATACATACATATTAATATATGTATATGCAGAGGCACAGTGGACTCGCGTTAACTGAAACATTTATCTAGTTCAAATGCACGTAAAAATATCTTCAATGTAACATGATACACACCAATTTTCGGCGTGCGATCTATTAAAAAATTGGAAAGCTGAATGAACAAGTTATTTTTATACTCTGGACAGAGTATAATAAGTTTGCCACGAAGTTTAAAATATATACAAGTAATGTTCAAAGTTTTTTAAATATTTAACTATTCATAAATATCTATTTTGTCCCCTTCAAAGTAATCCGCCTCGGATATAATACACTTGCGCCAACGCTTTTTCCAATAATCGAAGCACTTCTGAAATTCGCTTTTCGGTATGGTCATCAGCGTCAAATGCGACATTGATTTTGCTCAAAATTTAGCAGTTTTAGAACAAACTTCCCTACCACACGTTTCATTCCAAAAACATTCGAGAAAATTTATTGGCATGTGCCGATTGATATTCTCTGGAACTTCCCAAATAGTGAGTGGCCGATTTTCACAGTTTCGATGTTTTCTTCGGTTGTTGACGTGGTCGCACCTGCAGGATGCTCATCGTCATCAACATATTCTCGGCCTTCTGTAAAGCGCTTATACCACTTATAAACACTTTTTTCAGACAAAGTAGATTCGCCGAATGCCACAGTCAACACTTCAAGTGCCTTGGAGCACTTTATTCCATTTTTAACGCACAATTTAATACATATTTTTGATTCATTTCTTTCAAAAGTCAAAAATCCAAGAGCACACAAAAACTTGACTAACCTTTATATCAATTTTTGAAATATCGATCTGAAATTTTGCTCACGTTCTTTTATCCTTAAGGAGCTGCTCATTTGCCTGAACCAATACCGATATCGGACGTCATTAGCATATAGCTGCCATACAAACTGAACGATCACAATCAAGTACTTGTATTTAACACTTTTTCATTTGTAGATATCTTCACGAAATTTGGCATAGATTACTGTCAAAAGCAGGGGTGCACTCTTCTAAGGAATTTTTTAGATCGAACCACTATAGCATATAACTGCTATATAGACGAAGTTAAACTTTTTTCTCACTTTATAAGCGATTAATAAATTAATTCAAAATCACTTTACGGAAATTATTAGGACATATCCCTATCGAAATCAAAGCTTCCTTTCAATATTCGGATTTTTGTTAAACTGAAAAATGAAGTAAAACAGCAACAAACCACGTCTTAATTAAAAGAATATTGTGCAGTGTTAACGTTTTTTCTGTAAAAATCTTTTAATTTCGAAATCTTACCGAAACTATCTGACAAATTATGCATCATTTGAGAAGTTGACCTTAAATATTTGTATTACAGACAAAGAAAAGGCCACAGGGCCCAAAACAAATTTTAGATTACATGGATCGAAATGCAAACACAATAGCAATCATATAAAGCTTAATATGAGTCTCGAGTTCGAAGGTGGATTAACCGAACCCCGATTCACAATCATTCTTTAAAAAATATAAGTCCCTTAAATCTTTTTTAAATTTGTATAGCATGACACAAATCTGTTCGACTCAGTAAGTGCCGACTGTAGTCTCTTATCAAAATACTCACACTTAAATAAATTTCTTTAATTTCGAAAATTATTCTAGTGATTTAGTCATTTCCTGTGTAACTTCGCTCAGTACGATTCGAACAATAATACTGAACAAAGCTAAAGAATACTTAAAATAAATAAAAGACTTTCACAAAATGGCTAAACAGTTAATACATATACTCTTTTAGTTTAACAACAAATAATAGGAAGTACGGTCTGAACAAAACATGTGGTTTTTCGGGCACAAAAGAGTTCTATTCGGCTGGTCAACACTTTTCACAATTTCACTGTTGATGCAACTGGTTGCATGCGGACCAGCAAAAACGTGCCCAATTTATTGCAACTGTTATTCATTGGATAACCTCAATCATGCGGACTGCAGGTGAAAAAAAAAACTGTGAATTATTAATTTTAAGTAATAGCTTATAAAGTGCACAATATGGCAGCTAATGCTCAATACCAGTGTGTACTTACCCATAATTGGTAAAGTTATCGGTGTATATATAAATATATATGCACAAATTGTATAATAATATAAGTGTTTACTGATATATCGATTTGTCATTGACAAACTCGGAGCAAATGCATGATCTTAGAACGACTTAATTTGGGAAAAAATATTATTTATCTATGACTCAGTGCTTCAATAAATTCCGAGGTTTGTTACCTAAAAAAAATGGAATCTAATAAAGAAATATTTTGAGTGACTATATGTATAAATGTTTTACAAAATTCGAATTCTAAAGAAACACGAAAATAGTGGAAAGTGGTAAATTATTTTTCAACAAAGTTGATTCTCTAACTCCTTTAACCTGTCTGAAAAATATGTATTCTGGAAATGTCTTCCAGTAGACCGTTTCTGACCGAATAATTCGGCTTAGAGATCCCTGTGACCGTTTTGCTCCTCTCCAGGTATTCGATGTAGATCGCACCTTGTGTGTCTCAGAAAACAATGGCATCGTTCAGCCCGATAAGATAGTTTTCGACTTCTTTGAAACAGGTTCACCGACTAAAGTCTAGAGCTATATTTCGTCGATGGCCACGAAACTATGTAAAAACTTTTTCTAATTGCTCTGGAATAGCTTAAAACACTTCTCTAAACCTATTTCTCGGTTATGTTTGTTGTACGGAGCAAGCTAACTTGGCATATATCGCCGAACGTGTTTTCATGCCCAAGGGTAGTTAGTGTCTTACCTTTGTTGCAAGGCTATGACTCTTACTTATTATTAGTCTTCCAAAACATTATTTCCAGACTGTACACCCATTATATCCATATATAGCTGTTATAAACGGGTTGAAAGAGAAGCATGGATGAATTTTCGGTGATTGTGGTCAGATTTCGGAAAGTTTCAGAAGTTCCATACGCTCTCCGAAGCCTAGAGCTTTGCTTTAAAATTTACATGTTAAAATCAAACAAAGCATAAAACTATCTAACTAAAAATTTGTTTCTCCTTCAGTGGAAAACGATTGATAAGTCCAAATTCTGGGGTGCCATTTGAAGTTCAATCGTTAAATTTAAGCTACAACGATATCACTATTTTAGATAATAATTCCTTTGAGGTAAGAAAAAAAACCAAATATAATATTATAAACCTTTAATCGCTTGTCAACTTCCTTCCCACAGGGCTATGTCTATCTACTAAACATAACCATCGCTCACAATGCTATACACACCATCTTTCTGGATGTGTTTACTCCACTGAAGCGCATACGCGTCATTGATCTCTCGCATAACCGTCTTGAAACCATCGATCCAAGACTTTTCGAATCGAATAGTAGATTACATACACTCAACTTGGCTGGCAACAAATTCATGTCGGTGCCCGACGAGCCGCTGCTACACAGCAAGTCCCTCCGCAAACTCAATTTGGCCGATGCGCAAATAAATGTGCTGCTGCCTGAGCACTACCGTGGATTGCCGCAGCTGCAGGAGCTCGATTTGACGCACAATCTCATCATCACCATCGACCAGTTTGCGGCCCAACCACCAAAGCGAATGATTGTACTTAACTTGGATGAAAATAATTTAAACTGCGATCAAACGCTGCAAAAATCAATGCAACAGCTGAAGGCGCGAAACGTTGAAGTCGGCTACAGTTACTGTCAAGCAGCTGATACAGATCACGTTGATGAAGTTCCAACAAAATTTGAGCGCATCGAGCTCATGGAGCATTTCGAGGAGAGGAGAGCTGAGGTGGGAATTGCGGCAGGTGACGTCGGCGATTCACAAGAGGACTTTGACGATAACATTCGCAGCGGAGTTCTTATAGGCTGGCACTTTCCAGTTACATCAGTTGATGATACCGATGACTACACCGATTTTGATGTCGCGGAGAATGAGGAGAGTGGGGGAGTACTTTCTGACAAGTGTAACGATAAAACCACGAACGAAACATGTCGTCATTGGTGTAACCACTATGGGAATAAGTCATTTACGAAGCATACTTTCAACGATGCAATAGATTTCAACGCGAAGCTCTACAGTGACTTTGATTTACTGTTTGTTTTCATTTGCGGCATTGCGGTCGGCATTGCACTGACCATCTTTATTGGCAGCTGTATCATCTGCATTTGGCGTTGTTCTTCTTTAAGATCCAGACCCGTGCAAGTTGAAGATCCTTATGATACTCCCTACGCTGTAGTACCACAATCCCGTCTACCATCAATTCCAACTCAACCACCGACTTCACATGCAGCAGTAGATGCAATTAGGGGACTATCGGCAAGAGAAGATGAGCCAAGTCAAGAGCTAATACCAGTTATATATCCACATCCTCCACGCCGACGTCAGCGTCGAACTCCATCCATACAACGTGCAGTGGTGCGCCGTGATCAACTTGCGCGTCCTGGTAGCGATAATTTCATTTCGCGTCTCTTCGGCAGGCCAGCGCGTCACCAATATTATCGTACCATCAATGAGAACACAGCGACTTTAATACGTCGCTTGAGTCGCAGCAATCTTTTCAATAATCGCCTGAGTCAACATTTTGGTGAGCGTGATCGTGATCGAGAACGCAACACCGCAAGCTCTGCGCCGAACACACCACCAGATAGTCCGAATGGCGCCAGTACGTCGAATTTGGATAACGAGTTGGATAGTTTAGCCACATCGACAAGAACGCCTCATCGACGACGCCCGGAGACTCCACCTCCTTTGTATAGTGAAATAGTTGCGAAAGATTGTGATCGTATTAATTAAATGTTCAATGAACGACTGATTTATTTATAGCTCTTAAACTTATTAAGCAGTTATAGCCAGTATGCCCACTAAAATATACTTAAATAACCCTAGTAAACTGTCAACTCAACTTATTTTTCGCATATTCTTTCAAAAACAAAACTAATCTTTGAACCATGTCATTGTCATGTAAGTCCAAGGTTCTCTAATCTAAAATATGTGAGATTAAATAAAACTTAAATTGTTTCCTTTTCCCATCTAAATCGCAAGCCAACTTCGATTGCCACATTAGAAAGATTGATTAGTGGATCATTCAGAGAGGGTAGTTAGAACATTTTCAAAGTTCCACTATGATAACGCCTACAATTAACAACTCTGGCTGGATACCTAACGACCTCATGAAAATTCTACAATTGTTATACCCTGAACAGGGTATATTAAGTTTGCCACGAAGTTTGTAACACCCAGAAGGAAACGTCGGAGACTGACTTGATTTAGCCATGTCCGTCTGTCTGTCTGTCCGTCTGTCTGTATATACACAAACTAGTACCTCAATTTTTATGCTATCGATCTGAAATTTTGCACCTGTCCTTTTATAACAAAGAAGCTGCTCATTTGTCGGAACGGCCGATATCGGACCACTATAGCATATAGCTGCCATACAAACTGAACAATTGGAATCATGTACTTGTATGCGAAACTTTTTTATTTGACGAGGTATCTGCACGAAATTTGGCATGTATTATTATTTAAAGCATTAATTAAATTTCCGAAGAAATTGTATAGATCGAATGACTATAGCATATAACTGCCATATTAACTGAACGATCGGAGTAAAGTGCTTGCATGGAAAATTTTTTTATTTGACGAGGTATCTTCACGAAATTAGGCACGAGTTCTTGCTTAAGGCAACAAATTATTCTCCACAGAAATTGGTCAGATCAGATCAATATATCATATAGCTGCCCTACAAATTGAACGTTCGGAATCAAGTTCTTGTAAGGGGCCTTTGTATTTGTAAAGGGTATTATAGCTTCGGCGCAACCGAAGTTAACGTTTTTTCTTGTTTTTATTTGATTTCCTATAAGGGTTACACCACTTATTCTTTTTTCAAAGAGTTTCTTAATGAAATATATCTTTATCTTTACCATTTGTAGAGCAGACTTAAGATCTATAATACGGCATTTTTTATACCCTGAACAGGGTATATTAAGTTTGCCATGAAGTTGGTAACCCCTTCAAAATATATAAATGATCACTGTGACCTTGCTGAGTTTATTAAGACATGTCCATCTGTCTGTATATATCCGAACTAGTCCCTCAGTTTATTAAATGTCGCTCTAAAATGTTGCACACGTACTTTTCTCCTCAAGAAGCTGCTCATTTGCCGGAACCGTCGATATCAGACACTATAGCATATAGCTGCCATACAAACTGATTCGAAGTAAAAGTGAACTAGCTTATTAAGACAGTTGGCGGAAGTGGACAATCATATAAACCTAGAAATACAAGTTGGTTAAAAAGTGAGTAGCGATCACCTGGAAATAGCGCATGAAAAGTTAAAAGTCACTTGTCAATTAATTCTTTGTTTACAAGCCATTTGAAGTTGACGTGTCAGAGTATTTTTTAATACGGAAAAAATTTAATATCGCGCAGTGATTTGATTCTTTGTTTTGAAATGTTTAAAAGCAAAGGAAATTTATGAGCACTTTTTAGAAGTGTATAAGGAGTCCTCATCTTCAAAACGCACCGTTGAATTTTGGTTGGCTGGATGAAAAAATTCGTAAGAAAAGGCCGGGTTTGTAGCACCAAAAAATCATTTTTAATCAAGACAATGCACCTGCTCACAAAGGTGTTTTAACAAGAACAAAATTCATTGAATTAAAGCACGAATTGCTTGAACATCCACCCTTTCACGAGACTTGGCTCCCAGCGAATACTACCTCTTAAGAAACCTGAAGCAATTCCTTCGTGGAAAGCGTTTTTTGTCGAATGAAGGAGCTATTACAGCCGTAGACGGGTATTTTGCAGATCTTCCGGAAATTCATTACAGGGATGGCATAAAATTATTGGAGGATCATTGGAATAAATGTATTGAAGTTATTTCGAGTGCAAAAACTTTTCAACCAACCTTTACTTCACCCACTTTGACCTAAATCGACTTGATCAGTGAATTTTCACGCAAGCAAATATTCGTGAATTCAGAAATGCTCAATCTTCTGACATTCCTACTTTTATTTTATTATATAGATTATATGTATTATATATGTATAACTTATGGTAAGTGGCTTCTGCCTCTGTCGCTCAGTCAAGCTGTGAAGCAGTTGCTTAATGTGTCAAATCGGCCTCAACTGTTGTGAAGTTTTGTGTATCAAAAAAGTTGGACTCTCATTATTATACTCTGAATGGTATATTAACATGGCTACGAAGTTTGTAACTCCCAAAAGAAACACCGGAGACTCTAAAAAATATGTATATAAAGGATCAGTTTGACGAGCTGAGTCCCTTTAGTCATGTCCGTCTGTCTATCTATATACCCTCAGTTTCAGAGATATCGCTCTGAAATTTTGCACACGTCCCTTTATGCCCAAGCAGCTGCTTATTTATCAGAACCGCCGATATTGGCCTTCTAAAACATATAGCGGCCTTACAAATTGAACAATCAAAATTAAGTTCTTTTATGAACAACTTTTTCATTTGAAAAGATAACTTCACAAAATTTAGTATGGATTATTGTCAATAGTATCGCTAGAATATGCAAAAAATATTTCTAAATCAGAATACTATATGATATAGCTGCCATATTATAGCTTCGGTGTAACCAATTTTAATGTTTTTCTTGTTTTAAAACTAAAATTGCAGCTTATTCTTAAAAGGTAGCAAAAACGGTCCCAAATGAAACAACCTCCAATTATAAGTTTTAGCGATTCTAATAACCGCGGTTACTGATGATGCCTTGGACCCGAAACATTAATCCTTTATAAAACAATGTAAACATCATTTCTTACTTTAAATGCATTATAAATATCTCGAACAATGAGAGGAATATATCAGCGGATTACGTCATTATAATATCAAAGGGATATTTAATTAAAAACTGCTTTTTCGAAATATTTATGCATTAATTCCAATTCCAAAAACCAACAACTTCAAGGAGTGTAATCCCCGTAAAATCTTAAGCAACATAAGCCAGTGCAACGGCAAGTAAAATGGCGTAAGAAAGATCTGGTAGCACAGTTATCGTATCGTTATATTGCGCTTACGCATCGAAACTTTTCTTTTAACTCGTATTTATCTCATCTCGCCGCAGGTTGGGATTATACAAAAAGTTTTTTTCCGTAATTTTCGAGCTACTCTGCGGTGCTGCTTTTACGGCTGTGTAAATTCTGTTTTGCACTTTTTATTTCCACTACAAATCCGCAAGAAAAGCCGGAGTTATTGAAATGCAAGCAGAAATAAAAAAGCAAAGCCGCTTGCTGTAATGCGACAAGTTGGTGGTGATTTTTCCACTACTCTCTTCTTCTTTTTTTCTATGTGTCACAAGTGCGACTACGACTCTCACCGTGGATTGTGGTGGCCGAAATGCAACGCTGCTGCCTACTGGTCTGCTCCGCAAGGAATTGAAATGTTGAAATGCTTTGCAGCGCAGCGCGTCTTTCTCAACTCATCGCAGAATTCGGTTTTCTTTAGAACGTGTAAAGTTTACTTTTTGAATTTCGTGCGCATTCGTGTTATTCGGTGGCAGATTTTGTCTGCCACGCAGCTCGTACACCTTTGAAATGCACTTACCGCTGCCTTTCATCCCTTGGCCTACTTTATTAATATTTCTACGCTGCTCGTTGTTTTTGCTTTAACAAATTCCTTGTTACTTCTGAAGTGTAAAAAAGTTTGATAGTTTGTACAAGTTTTTATTGCACATCGATGGCAGAGTCGAAATCTTCTGTTTTCACTTCGGCTTTGTGATACACACGTTCAAGTTTAAGTTTACATGTTCGTATATAGTATATTTATATATACTGCTGTAAAACTATATGCCGGCCCGTCTGAATGCACCTTTGCGTGAAACTTTATCGTTTTTTTTGTTGTTTTCGCACAAGTTTTTGTGGACCGGTGCCCGTAGTACGGAGTTCCCGCTTTTTTCCCCAATAGTCAAATTCTTCATGTGAAAGTAATAAAAATCGGTTTTTATGTTTTTACATGCACAATTTAATTGATCCTGTGTGCAATTGGAGATTCTTTCAAAATTGTTGAATACAATATCTAAAGTACAATACGATAGGGATGGAAAACACAACATATTTCAATAGCACTTGAACTATTTAAAATTAAAAAAAAAATCAGTTCCTACTACCAGAGGTCTGGTAGTATCAGAATACTGACATACAACAGAAAAAGTATTTAGATATTATTTAATACTTCCACTTCAATTTAATTTTTTTCGAAAACAATATACTCGTATGTACCTATAAAAAAAAACATATAATATTCAAACATTAATTTTTTTCATTTATTTGTGGGAGATTTATCTCATGTGTATGAGACTTGTCTAATTCGTTTATTACCTGAACTAAACGATATTTTAAATTATTGACTTAAAACCTTTAGTATAAAAATAAAACAATAGTTAAACTTGGAAGATCTGCGTTTATTGGGAAAAAAGTCAAATACGTAGTTTTTTATGCTCTCATCACATCTGTATTAAATTTGCTTTCTTGTTGATGTTGGGTGGAACAAATTTGTTTTGTAGGATTTTGAAAATATTGATGTAATAAACAGTTCATAGATAGACTTTCAGTGAAAAATTTATTTTTAGATTACACATAAATTTATGGATATCAAGACTTGACAGTTAATAAAAGCAGAAACATCAACGGAAACATTTATTTATCGATATACTTAATCAGAAAACGGTTCTTTTGAAGTCTGTGAACATGCAGTCCTCCAATCTTCAATTATTTGAAACTTAGAAGTGAGCCTTTCGAGCTTTGGCGAGCATGATCAATGAAAATTGTTGATCCTTGCTAAAGCACTAAACAAACGTTCACCATATGGAACAGAACGTGTAAAGAGCAAAATATTCTCACAGCGATACAAAGTCTTCCTAATTTTCGAGCATTAATGTTAAGACTT